GACTTGGGAAGTTTAAAAAATATCAGTATAAATAGCTAACACTGTCCTGGTTTGGGTAGTGCGTAGCGGAAAACGAAGACCCATTTAACTTATAACCAGGCAATTTATCTTGGTTTCCAAGTATAACTACGCATCTAAATTCTGAATTTTAATCGAGGATAGATATCATCGTCATCATCATCAATACAGCCCTTTACAAGTCCACTGCTGAACATAGGCCTCCCCCAAGGAATACCACAAAGCACGGTCCTGAGCCACGGCCACCGGTACGTGGCTGCCACTCGAGAACCTTTTTTCTCCATCGGTTGTCGGTTCTTCGAGCTATACAGCTGGCCCATTGCCACTTCAATTTACTAATCCGTTGGGCTATGGTGGTCACTCTGGTTCTACTGCAGATATCCTCATTTCTAAGTTTATCACGCAGAGGAACCTCAAGCATAGTCCTCTCCATAGCTCGTTGAGCGACCTTGAGCGTCCTCATACGGCCAGCAGTGAAGAACCACGTCTCAGATCTGTAAGTCATCAGATGTTTAAGGTATAACTGACGAGAAAATGTGTCGTAATATCCCGAACGCCGCCCGTTGCTGTCGATGGGCCTCTCGGACAAAGTTGGACTTACCTAGTCGCACTAGGTATTAGTCGCAGGTAAACGTACTCTTCGAGGATAGATCTACAGCACAGCATTCACTTGCTATCATGTATACTGTGTGCTAGCTTCTTTCCTTTATTTGTATTTAATAAAAAATTACGTGAAGAAGGATCGTAGCACAACGCCACTATATACATTTGGACATTTAGGGTTTTATTATACAATAGAAGAAAACTTGTTAAATGTAAACAACTACGACACGACGTCATAATGTCATTCCATAACAAGGAGGTTTAAATGTATAGAACTGGCCGACTTAAATAAAAATCAGCAATCTTTAAGTTCTGGCTTATTAAATATGGAACTATACATACTAGCTACCGAATGTCGAAAAGTGTCCAAGATTTAAGTTAATGGCCTCCAAAGTGAGGACGAACAATCTGCATGTCTTCGATAAAGAATTTCAACTCGTCAGCGGCAAGAACATAGAGGTTAATAAAAACTAGTTGTTTGGACTTATACCACATGGAATAAATATTTCTAGGGCTGCATTTGAATTATTGTACACACGCATAAGCCGAGCGGGGCCGATGACGTGATAATGAATATTCAACGTACATACAACACAATGATACAAAAACTCCAACAATGTTAGCTCTTAATTGAAAAATTTATTTAATTTTTCTAATTGTCTATACTACTATAGATGTAGACAGCATTAATTATGCAAGTATTTTTGTGGTAGCTCAAGGAATAAGCTCTAGACTAGACTTAACATCTATTCAAAAATGCTCAACCCCAATTTCCAGAAACTGGTGACGAGAAACACCTTTACCGTGGTGAATAGTGAAAGATTATGCAACCGTCAAAGCCATTTGCGCAGTGGTGAGTCTAGGCTTACCTTTTAAGGTAACATGCACAGGTAAGATTTTAGACGTCCCAATATCATAGTTAGCCTACCTTCAGTTTTTGAATATTAATTTTTGGTCCGAAGCTTGCAGTATCTTGAAGTCTTGCAGTGGTATGCTAGTTTTTGGATTTAATTTTGTTAATTATAGGATCCCAAGCAGGTGGCAGCACCCAACCATCTTCTCTATTGAAATTAGGATGTTTTTTTTAAATTTCAATAGCCTCGCGTATCAACCTTGGTAGGAATCGGTGTTCTTTTGCGAGGATTTGTGGTTTATGAAATCTGATGTAATGTCGGGGACGATCTTAACATATTCACAGACTGCAGACAAAAAGTATCCATATGTTAATTTGTAGACTGGTTGGAAAAATTAAGAAAATTTTACGGATTAGTAATGTCCACTAACACGCAATTGGGTTTCATAATCCTCTCAGAAACAATTTCACACAATGTGCGCCTGTTGCTGGCTGAAATGATCTATTGTGATCGCTGTTATGACTATTATAGTTCACCAATGAGCTCTACCTTTTCAATTAACTGCAAGAACTGTTCAGCTGTGGCTTTCTCTTCCAGTGAGTAAAAAGTTTCTTTAAATGTATGCTACGTCAGGATGTTGAAAAAACATTCAGTTAAAACGCACTTTTTTGTATATGCGTATCTAAAAGTTAAGTAGGTATGTCTTTTATTTTCTTTATTTTGCTTTTCATTTAATAAATCATCAAAATATGAATAAATCTAGTTTTACTAAGCTTTCAGATGAAATTTTTTTGATTCTTATTATGTCAATTGATGAAACGGTAATGGTCGACTGATATATAAAAACAAATTGTAATCCAAGTAGGTAATTATACCAACACACCTTTTTCCTTATCAGCCCTGGGAAGGCCACCGCTGGACGTTAGGCCTATCTCGTTACCCGAACGATTTGTCTTTACAAATGGATTGACAATTGCATACTAGAGGTAGAGGTACTAGAGGGACCTATAACACGGATCCCATCTGATAGATGACAGTATAGCTGCCTCGTTTACACCAAGTGTGATATTCAAAAATATAGTTCAATTGAATTGTTATATTAACATTAAATGAAATCGTGGCTTTCGATTAAAAAAAGAATAGAAAAAGCAATGACCCCAATAGCTCTTCTTGTGGTCTCAAATTTTAACGTTCATAAGTGCTAAATAAAATATATATACTGTCCTATTCACCGCAGTATAATACCAAGGACGCTGGTTCTGTTTCTTCGCTGAATGACTAAGCTTTGAGTGAGAAACGAACCAGCCCACTTGTCACCAGCGGCAACGATAAGTTGCGGATACGTTCCTTTAGAAACTTAACCACACCTGGACCCCTCGGACCGATAGTTTATATATCAAATGGCACAAATATGTAGTTATCTCTTGGAGACTCATATTTGCATCATTTATTTATTTCAGCTGCTTCTGACCCCGCCTTGGCTCTAAACGAAATACCCCTGGGATTAGGTAACATGCATCCCATAGGTACCTTGTTTAGAGCCGGACTAGGTATAAATATTTGACTTTTACATTTTGAAAACATATTTTTAAACCTTTTCAGTGGACTCAACAACAACATAATCTCAATGTCCTGTAAATAATTCATTATAAATGCGAACTCTAATTCCGATACAGCATTGTTTATATTGTCAAAATGGATTGACTGTCGTTTGAGTTTGACAAAAATACTACTATATCGTGATTGTCTCCTACAAGATAATTTATTTTGCCACCCTTAGGGAAGATTTTTGGTCCAAACTTATATAGGAGCATCCCGAAGTATAGTTCATTTGATGAAAAAAGAATCATCAAAATAAGTTCCCAATTAACAAATATATCGCGTAACATACATAAAAAAACATAAAATTGATTTGTAAGCCTCCTTCTGGTTTTAAAGCCGTCTAAAAATAGCAATTATGCGGTAGTGTTCCTTAGCAAATATGTAAGCATGAACTAAATTAAATATTTTTAACTTTGAAAAAATAATTAGCTAACAATGTTTCTGTATCAAGACATAAATTCGACGAGGATCATGACTTGCACTATGAAATTAGAGGATCGTTTCCGTATTATAAAACACGTCGTCCTGTTAGCTGCAGGTCACGTAACAAGGGTCTTCCCGCGGCTGCCTCACGGGAGCCTAGCTTCGATGACTGGCAGAATCGTCCAAATTGCTTCCATCACATTAATATTGAATTCGAGCCGCCCCGGGAGTGAAAATCACATGTATACAGCCTATTTAATTTAAAGCACACAAAGCGATTGACATGCCCCGCTCTTTATGATAACGAACTCCTCGCGAAGTTGTTAGAAAAATTAAAAATCGAAAATCAAACGAATCTAGTTACGGATGTCAATGGAAGGGATTCGTCACACGCCTGCTCTACGCTCGTCCGGGCGAATGGTTGGAGGAAACACGCTCGTTTGTTTGTAAACGATTTGTTCGTTACCTACAATAGATAGGAAAATGTATTTTGATTCGTCCCATTGATATGAGAAGCTAATTAAATTTCTTATTATATATATGAGAATAATTGGAATATTCACTTAGAATGTATTTGATAACTTAAAATATATGCATAACTTGGAAATTAATATTTACTCAATTTACTAGGTGGTAGGACTCTACCACCTGCCTACCTACTGGCCTGCACAGCTGTGTTCCAGTCTGCAGGATATATGGAGCCAGTATGGGGAGCCAGTGCAATTAGGTAGGTCTAGGAAGTAGTACCTAGTGCCTTCTTTGTATGAAGATGGTTGAGGGTGTCTAGGGTCGCAGCATCTACTTACCATCAAGTAGGCTGTGAGCCCATTTGTCACCCTTTAGTATTCTAAGTATTAAAAATAAGAAAAAATAATAATTTTAAGTCTTAATTCATTAAATTACATACAGAAACATTGTACCAATATTACCTGAATGGAGACAATTTTTATTTCAAATTAAAATTTTATTTCAATATTATTTCATCTCGATACACTTCCCTTATCTACGCTTGAAATTTGTACGAACTAATCTCCAATATTTATTACAATGTTTCGTAGACATATATTCATCAACGACAGATTTAATACACACAAATAACTTCTTCTTTATTAATTGGATAACAATAGTAATACTTTAGAGAACCGATAGAAAATAATAAGTTAAAACATCATTCCACAAAACTAACATTTAGCTAAGATGATTTACCGTCTATTATGATACGTACAAGAAAATTTATAACAGGATTATAACTTACAAAGTGCAGGTTCAATTAGCGAACGTAGGAGGCTTCGCGGGGCAGCGTCGCCCGCCATCTAGCGGGCGTCACCGCCGCCCACCACCCGCCTTGCGGCCACGGCCACATGTCACTTATGAATATGAGGCGTTATGATTATGAAATATGCCCCGCCCCGAATATGGAATATGGAGGAGGGGGTCCGGGAGAGCGCGTGCGAATGGGCGAAGTTTGATTTATGAGCCAGGCACGGCCCCGCCTCTCTGTCATAACCGTGTACCTGGTGCGCGCGCGCGCTCGCCGCCCGCCGCCCGCCGCCGCGTCGCGCTCAGTCCCGCTTCAGATGGCGAGTGGTGCGGCCGCCCGCATTCCGTACCCGCTGCCGCTCCGTAGCCCGCGCCCTGAGCGAGTCGAGTAGACGGCGCCGCGAGCCGCGAGTGACCGCGCCAGTGCCTCCGCGAGCTGAGAGTGCTCGCCGACGCCTGCCATGCGCCGGCGGTGAGCCGCCAGCGCGCGCCGACACCGCTCGCCATGCCGCGAGTCAAGCCCGCCTGCGTCCGCCGCGTCTCCATCGGTACATACCACTCCACTACGATCATCCATCCCAGCACCTCACACATGACGACACCGTCGCCCACATCACTGTGAATTATTCCCGGGAATACCGCGACACCCGCTTGTCGCTATAGCGTCACCACCGATTGCGAAAATGATACAGTTTGCGACGATAAAATTTGGTATCCATCAAAAAGTGAGCACTAAAATTCGCCCGCGACGCGGTGAGTAAACAGTGCAGTGATTTTACAAGTTTGATGTGTTTTTGAGCTTACGGTCAAGTTTTCGTAAAAAGCACAACAGCAGGCAGGTGTCGATATGAAAATTATGTAGAGTTCAATGACCACAATCCTCAACGTTCCAAAACAAACTTAAAAAAGTTAGGTACTCAATTCTTTAATTCGTTTAAAAAATCTTCCCTTTAAATACATATAAGTATGTGCTTTAAGCTTAGTGATTTTTATTAACTTGAAAATTTGGAATAAAAAGTTAAAAATAATACAGATAATATGAGTTCTGACGCAATTTTAAATTCTTGGGTGCATATTTATTAAATGAAGTCCCAAAGTTTATAAAATGTTTTTAAATAGTTGCTATTTTTACAAAGCGATATCACAAGGAAGCCACAGTTTACAGGTAACATTACCCTTGAATGGAGCTGTTAGTCACTCTTTTAATTTAAGTATTTGTATTTCTTAATAACAAACAAATAAAATATATTGTATGCGGTACACTTGACAGTACCTAGTTCGTTCTTAATATTAAAGTAAATTTAAAGCTTTTAGAACTATTCGATTAGGAAATTGAAGTAGGTAATCAGTTCAAACATTAAAATACCTATATCTTAATTTATTGTTATGCTATTACGTATATTTTAACATAAAACAATAATTATGTAAAAACGTGGCTTTAAAATCAGATGCTTAGTAGAATTAGGTATTATCAAAATATTAAAAATAAATTCGTAATTAATGCATGTTAAGTAACTTTATAGGCGTTTCACATTTACAAAAAATATATTCTAAATAAAAAGAGTTTATGAATAGTTTATCAGTAACTTGTAATGAAAAGCACACTTTTTTATTCATTTATTTATCCGGTATTAGCAATTACCTACAACTTAGGGATACATTTACCTACAAATAGCAAACTTAATGCCTTGCGGTATTCCGGTTCATCTAGTGGTCTACCTTAGCAGAGATCGTCAAAAAAATGTTTCCAGGTTGAAATTTAGAACTAAATAATTAATAAATTAATTCAGTTTATTTTTAACATATTTTAAATATTATGCCCGTGTTACCTACTATCTATATCATAATATGATATATAAATGCATGTAATAAGGTGAAAATTAATTACATTTTATTTTATGCAAACGCTCATTCATTGCCTTTTAACTATCTTCAGTTGTTTTATAAGAGTATAACTTGATCTTATGGTGTAGAATATAAAAGTACTGTGCTATGTTTTAATATATAGGTACAAAGACGAACGGTAGACGGTAGAGAAACGAGGTTCACGGTCAGAAGCTATATGTAGAAAGTAATTTTTATTTTATTTTATTTCCTGCCATAAGCTTTACATAGGCCTTCCCCATAGATTACCACAGAAGGGAAAATTTGCCACAGTTGCCACGTTAGGTGGGCGTGTTAGCAACTGCAGTTTTTTTATTTTTTATTGTTATCAGGAAGATATTTCTGTCCATCTTCTTTTTCATTTCCCCCCCTCGTCTCTTATATATTATACGCCGCCACGAATGTTGCATATCGTTTTTATTTCATTTAACAGTGTTACTTACATTAAAAAAAAAAACACATTTTTATCAGTCCAACTGTTTTATTTGTATTTTAAGTTAGCGAGATTATTAAAACTTATGTAGGCACACACACACACACACACACACACACACACGCACACATCGGTAGGTAGGTATATTTTTACATATTATATGCATCAACTCAAATGGTCATTTTAGCTATTTATACCATTTGCCAAAAAGCCATTGATTAAAAGCTTTCTAATGCTAAGTCTCAGGGTTTTTGACGAACAAATTAAATAACTTAAATGCAGGTTGTTAAAAGTTGCAATAACATTCAAATGTACCGTGTGGCAAATGAATTCAAAATGATCTTGCCCTATATTTTATTTTTAATTAAGACAAATAAGTCGTTTCTCCCCTTAAAATTTTATTATTTAGCATAAGATCATAGTTATAATGAGTTTCGCGTATGTGTATAGTTATTATTATTATTACAGCATGTTTATTATAGCGGTATCCTAATTACCTCCTTAAATATGTTTACTTATGTTTGATTTTATCGCCAATTAGATATACAAGCTTTGTACAATTATTTAAATTGATTATGAAACCAAAAGCTTTAACAATAAAGATGATATTTGTCCAATCGACATTTTTATATTTGACACATTTTGATAAAAGCCTTAAGTGGCTCTATATTATAGAATGACACGCCGTCAAATTTTATTAATCTTACGGCTCCGCTCTTTTATGACTGCTCTATAAATTTTAGAGACGTTTTATCTTCCAACGATTGATATAACCCGCCTCATCATATTCTTTATGAAATACATTTTAAGGTATTCAGTGTTTGTTCAAATATAAATCGACAAAAATAAAACTCGTTAAGAAACTGGTTCCATTTCTTATTAAAATGAAATATTGATATCTATGCATATTGTGTCCATTTACCTTGAATGATGAATAATAATACTGTTGATATTTAAATTATAAACTTTCCGTAAGTGGATTAATTACTTATAAATTATAATGATGAAATGTATAATATATTATCATTATTAAGGAAAAACGCGCGTGATATAACCTAGTTAAACTATAATCACTACTTATTACACACTACTTATTACTAACTTTTAACCACAATTTCGTCCGCGTGGAACTTAACCAAAAAAACCTGCAGACCTATTAGAGTTCTTCAGGCAAGTAGTTCAAATATGGAAGAACTATTTTGAACTCAGTTTATTTTTGCTATTATCTCGATAACCGTGTACATTATGGATAAGTGTTAAAAATAAAAATTGTAATCATTTTGTTTAAAAAAATCCTATCACCTTATACTCCAGCACTTATATTTTTAAAGAAAATTATTTATATTTTTTTTATAGGATAGGGTAACAAACTAGCACACAGTCCACCTGATGGTAAGCGGTTGCTGCGGCCCGTAGACATCTACATCTATCCTCGATTACAAGTCAAAATGTAGATGCGTTGTCACCCGTGAGGACCAAGATGGAATGCTTCGTTTCCAGTAAAAAGGGTCTCCGGTTCTCTATACTCACCATACGAAATACAGCAGCATTAAGCTACTATATGACGCTGGTATTCTAAGAGAGCGTGTTCCTTCCACGGTCGAGCCATTCGTGCTACAACTATACTTCTAATATAACTGCAGCATGGCTCTACCACGTATACATATATAATAAAATGTATAATTAAAAGTATTATATACAATAAGAGGCAGTTATTTTAGTATTAAAGTCAGCCACTTTATTTATATTTAAATGCATAGATCAAGAGGGGAATACTAAAGATTAGCGACTGGGCTCTTGTGCGTTAAGCTTGCAATATTTTTTTGCGTGCGTGCAGGACAACGTAACCGCTTCGGCCGTGCTCCGTCAGCTCACCTTTGAGTTTGCCGCGTTTCGCAAAACGCAAGCCTTCACCACAGTCAAATTGCGACAAACAAACACTGTTAATCCTTCTCCTTACAGCTAAATATTTAAACGCACCGGCGACTCGCTACAAATGATACGTTTAGTACCCGCCGCAATATTATCCCGGATTACACCAAACGCTTTGTGCCGGTGTTCATTTTTTCGCCCATTTCGATGTAAACACCGCAAACAGTGCAAGTGTGACAAAAAAGGTGCCTAATAACGCTACCGAAATTTTACTTTTAAATGCGATATTTTATCCCATACTTCATCATTAAAAGCATTCACATGGTGAAAGTTGAAAAATCAAAAGCGATAAGCAAATTTATTCATCAACATTATGGACTTTTTTTAATAACCAAATTAAAATATAATAAAGATAAATCCGTTGGAAATTTTCATTAAAATCGAGAGACATTCCAAAATGACAATTTCCTCTGCCCACATGTCGCCTTATAAATAATGTAAAACGCTAAATTCTAAATCGAGGTAGATACCTACGAGGATTTATTCCTTTTATTTAACTTACTTACAGTTAACCTTTTGCAAACTATTTGGACAAACTGAACACCTCCTAGTACCGTGTGGTGGCGGTATAAAAACATCCACTACCCCATAACGTCTGGTGTTGGAAGAGGGAATCACACCAGGCAGCAGCGTCTTGCTAATAACCCGCCGTTGTCCACCCGCAGTCCAGGCGTGGCAACCATGGCAAACATCCATGAGCTATGAGGCTTTATATATGAGCCAACCTATGGGGGAGGTCTATATTTAGCAGTAGACTTTTGACAGGCGGGAATGGAAATGGTAACGGAACACATTGTGTACCTACTTGTAATTATTAGGTATATGAAACATAAAAAATGAATTGTGCCACCAACACCGTTAACCACAATTTACTTAAAGCATAAGTCATCGAGTGAAGTAGTAGCTAGTGTTTAGTAAACATAAATTTAGATTTTTTTTTAATAGTAAGAAATTCTTATGCACAGAGCAAAGTATAAGGTATTGATGAGTTGCATAACATTATTAACTTCCTGCAATTAGCTGAAATTATAAAATATCCTGAACCACCTAAATCTAAGACTTCCTGCATGCCTTACCAGGTCGTCACACAATGTAGTAAGAGTCGCTCACTTCGTTTACCAGTGCCACTCAACAGCCTTTCTTCCAAATCGTTCTTCGATAAATGCCAGGTTACTCACGTTTTTTTTTTTGTGCTGATGGGTTTTAATATATGAAATTTAATGTAAAAAATAAAACAAAATGATCATAGATAGATATCATCATCATTACAGCCCTTCACAAGTCCACTGCTGAACATAGGCCTCCCCCAAGGAATACCACAAAGCACGGTCCTGAGCCACCTGCATCCATCGACCTCCAGCATGTCTTACCAGATCGTCACTCCGTCTAGTTGGGAACCGCGCTAAACTTCGTCTACCGGTACGAGGTTGCCATTCTAGAACCTTTCTTCGGTTCATCGGTCGCCGGTTCTTGGAGCTGTATAGCCGGCCCATAGATAGATATATAGATAAAAAATTCTAAGTTGCACAGTTTTTTTTTTTATAAAACGGCAGTGAACCTTTGATAGCGTGGTGAGAGCGATGGGTAGATCAGCAATACAACAAACTACTTATTGACGTTTTCGGAAATATTATATTTGAACATAGTATTAACTTGAACTCCTAACTATACTAACTATAATAACGCAGCTTCATACGTGGTACAGCCACGCTGCAACTATATTATGGTTGTAGCACGAATGGGTCGGCTCTACCGAGGAAGGACTACTTTCTCACAGATTACCAGTGAAACATAGCAGCTTAATGCTGCTGTGTTTCGTATGCTGAGTGTAGAGAACTGGAGACCCGTTTTACTGGAATCGAGGCATTCCATCTTAGTCCTCAGGGATGACAACGCATTATGATTCTTAATCGAGGTTAAATGTAGATATCTATGGGCCACAGCATCCGCCTACCATCAGGTGGACTGTGTGCTGGTTTGTCGCCTTTATTCTATTATAAAAAAGCTTCGCCTTTCTATTTATTGTTTCTAAATTATTATAAAATCCTCAATACTTTACAATGTATGCAGTGTGTTTCATTCCACTCAATTGATTTATATTCCAAAATGACGAAATTAAACATACAACGATCTTTGAATTATAACAATAGGTGATTAGTCGTGTACCCATATCAAAGGTCAAATAGATTTCCGTCACTATGAATTTAATAAAATAGGTAATAAGTAAATATACAATATGTTTGCGTCACGTCGATAAAATTACGCCCAATAAAAGGTTCTATCAATCATTCCTAGAAGTAACGACATCGATTTCTGTCCTTAAGTTATTTAAAAAAAATTGAATTAATTTTCAATATTTCTCACAAAAATGTTTTCTTTTGCCTCATGGCTGATAATTTATTATTGTAAGTATTTCCTGAATATATTTTTTCCATCATCATCATTAAGTCAGATAAATATTTTGGTGCTTATTACGAATGTAATGAATATAATGACGAATTTCGAAGTTACAGCCTAGTTTAAATATCGAGTAAACTATAAAAATGAAATCTAATAGATACTTACAGCTTAATTGTTTTCTTCTTTCACAAATTTGATAATAACAATTAAGCCTTTAATTTTAGTAGTTGATAACAATTGCCTTCCCCATACAATATGCTTATGACACGAGCTTTCAAAACATGCCATGGACCAAAGCTATATATTGAATATAATATTAAATTATTAAGCTATATTTTCTTTTAAAATTTAAATATTTTTCTCAAATTATTCCAGTGATAGGTCAACAACGACATTCGTGTTCAAATCAATGTGAGCTATAGCTAATATTTGTACGGTGCGTTATTAGTTCGATATAAGACATAGGTATTATGCGACCTTTTTACAAACCGTGGTTTATTGACAGTCCTGTATTTAAAGAAGGGTTTTGTCATCAAAAAAGTCCGCCCAACTGCGATGCCGTATTCGTCACAAAATTTGATATTTGCTCTCGAATTTCATACTTTCCAAATGATGTTGAATTGATTTCATAATTTACAAACGAATTGACATTCAAAAATGTTCCTCTATTTTGCAGGACTTATTTTTTAAACATACCTATACCAGTGTAAACCTGAGACTAGTAACAAACTACTTTTTGTAATAAGACTGATAATATTTCTTCAGAAAAAGAAGGTAGGTACAATAAAAGCCACGCGCCTATTCTGTGCGTCTCGATATATTAGTCTCGCCAATTTTCACGATGATCATTTTATCATTTGTCGAAGAGTTATGATGATAAGCTTTTAAGTTATGATGTTAAGTTTTTTTGGTGTTTTCTTTTGTCAACCTTATAATAAGCGTGACATCTTAAAGGGCAATATAAAATCGTCTTTGTCGGTTTAATAAACCCTCCTCTGCTTTACAAAAGGCTCTCCTAAATACTGAAAGTGTCGTAATTCTTACAATTACCAAGAGCTCGTTTTAGATGCAGACATTTTTTTTATTCATCTACACTACATCGGGACCGCTCATTCCAGGTGGGTCTGTGTCAACCACAACTGAGATTAATTATAAAGTCGAATATTTAGGTAATACATTATTATTTACACACATACATAAACTCTCATACCTGATTCCCAAAGGGGTATGCAGGGACTATGGACTTCCATTTGGCGAGATTCTGACATATCTACATACTCGTCGGTTAAAGGTATTTTTAATTTGGCCCGTCTTCCATATTTTGCCAATTTAGGCGACAAACTTCCTTTTAGAGGGGCCGTTGACGACTCTGCCACTGTAGTGAGTGCAGCATAAATTTGTTTTGCCACTCTTTAAGCATTCGTTATTAAATTATATTAAATATAATATATTATTGGATATATTGTAGGTAGGTATGTGTTGACCATATTCATAGTAATAGTAATATTCACATTTTAGTATAAAATGACTCTTTAGTTGTTATTTTATCAAATAACATTTTTATCCTCAATGCATTTCAATTTTACCAAGTTACCTTATCAGGCAACCTTAGCGCCTTACGAGAAGCTCATATGAAAGTTCGCCGGTATTCGAGACTGCTGGGGACGTATTAGCGGTTAGTCAGGTATTTAAATAAATTTAAGCGACTTTGGATGAAAATAGCATTAGTTGTTATAAAAGTTTTAAAGTATTCTAAACCTTTAGTCCATAGCGAAAGAATACATTTATTATTAATGTCGACAAAGTTTATTTTGGAAAACGTCATTTGTTGTAGAGAAATTTAAGTATTTGTACTTACCTAAGTATATGAAAAATAAAGGAACACTATTTACATATATATTGTAATGGTAGTTACAATCCTTTTTTAGTCCCTAGTTGCAAATATAATTTGTGCAATATATTTATAAAAAAGTTAAAGTTCAATATAAAGTTTGACTGCAAAGAACTAAAAAGAAATATAATAGTTTTCTTTGAAGTCGCCATTTTATTTTTATTAAAAGTATAATTTTTTAAATCTTTCAAGTGAGCTAATGAATATCAAGGCAACAAGGTGTTAGACGACATCGTGTTTGTTACTAACAACTAGGATGTCATTAAATAACACGTTGTTAAATAAACAGTTACATCTACTATTTTTCTGCCCTTAGGGGTGATATTTTTATCCATATTGTACGGGACTACCCCTGATTGTGTCAGAATTGTCGAACATATCGCGTAAATACGAAGTGAGATCCTTTTTTTGTTCTGAAGCCTGCTAATAATGATAATTAAGACATAGGTAGGAAGGTATACATAAGTAGGTACAAAGCGCTATCTCGATAGTATTGAATATTTTATTGTTTTTTAATTTTTTTTTTTTTTGCTGAACATCATATCCGGAAATACAAGTTGGCATAATAACTTCCTATGAAGCGAGCTCCACAAAAACGTATTCCATTAAACAATGTAAGCATGTTTTCATGAACGTATTTCAATTGTCGCTTAATTACTAAAATAATATGTTTCTGTAAATACACGAAATTCTATTATTAATAAAATATTCCATCTGACGTGGTGAACCGCGCCGACCTTTCAACTATTAACGGATTCTAATTTATAATATAAAATGATTACAATAAAAATATATTCAGCGGGTCTACATAAATGTAGATACCTAGTGCTTATTTCCATTTTAAGTTGTTATATAATAAAATAAGATGTTTTTAAATAAAATTATTTACGTTCCAGAGTTAGTTCTTACATTAGGTATATTGTATTATATTATACTAGGTATATGAATAGTTAGAGTTTTATGTACTATAAAAACGTTAGAACTCTTACATATATCATTGTTAAATATATGGTTTATTATAAAACGTCATTTAACCTTCTTATACATTGAACCTAGAGGATAATTTAATTTTTTTTAGTAAAAGTACTTAATGATATCTACATTACTTACTACATAATTATACTTTTTGATAAATAAAACGTAACAGCCTAATTATGTTTAATTAAAAATATTAATAACCTGTCATTTTAATTAACATTTACCATGTCATTGTAATTTTACTAAAATGTCATTAAAACTATTTTGAATTAATTAATAAAAAGTCTGTTTCACTCATAGAAATATCTATGGTTTCACTTTATAAACTTCGAATATCTATGGTTTCACTTTATAAACTTCGAATATATTGCATAATTTTGACTATCCACCAGCATCAGGAAGGTTTCAGGGGGTAGGACTCGTGTCCTGCCGTGGAGTCCGTCTGCGCGAGTTCCATTCTCTTACCTATTTCTGTCGCTAGTAGCAGTGTTTAGTATACCACTGTTTTTCTGTTTGAAGAAAGAAGAAAACCAACATTATGCTATGAGGTATTCCATTCTATTTAAAGCCTATATAGGAGTAGTTTTAGATCAAAATCACCTCGTTGCCTAATCACCAACGTGGGCAAGTGGGTTTGATTAGCAATCTAGGGAACTTTTAATCAGGTTAAGCTGCTGATTTGGACTAATGGCTCAGCCTTTCGGCGGGTTACAACTCCATAAATTAAAGGAGAGGAAAGAGACAAGGGATAGTAAAAGGATATGATGAAAATCCTTTCTTTGTAATACAGTGCAATCTTAATATAACGTACCTCAATATAACGACTTCCTCGATTTAACAAATTTTTCGTGAACCCCTTGAATTGTCCACAAGATTCAATATAAAATATACCTTTACATTATGAACGTTTCTTGCGAACAAGCTCTTTATAACAAATTTACAACTATCAAGAAAATATAAATTCCTCTAATTAACTAATTTTGTCAACCCAAAACCTTTATATACAGTTTATTAGTAAAGGTTGTGAATTAAACTATTTTTTACCTCTTTATAACAAATTTTAGACCAAACTAACCTCAACATAACAAAACTCAGTTCAACGAATTACTTGATATAACGAATATTTACTTGTTCTCTTCCGATTTGTTATATCGAGGTTGCGCTGTATATGTGTCCAGGAAATAGTATAATTTTTTATAGTGAACTACTTTTGACCGGGAAAGGAATTAAGGAATCAATGGTAGGAGAAGCCGGGGAATGGTAGCCAAATAGTTATGATGAGTGAGTACCTCCTGGTCGTCTTGTTTATCCTTATAATTTCTTTTGTTGATGACAGTAGGTAGATTATATGGTATATCTTTTGTTGATGACAGTAGGTAGATTATATGGTATATCTTTTGTTGATGACAGTAGGTAGATTATATGGTATATCTTTTGTTGATGACAGTAGGTAGATTATATGGTATATCTTTTGTTGATGACAGTAGGTAGATTATATGGTATATCTTTTCACACCTGCATCTGCATCGTCCTAAGCTAGACCGGTTGAAAATGCCTCACAAATTATTTATTAGGACCACCTAGGATACGTGGTCAGCTGGTCAGTAGTTGTTTAAACGGAGTTTTAAATATATCTTCACTCAGGCGTTCGTAGCTAACTTTGTATTTTTTTTAAATTTAAAATGTACAAAAACCTATTAAAACGGAAGAATTATTTAGGTTCCTAAAGGTCCACGGCTGGTCCGTGGGCCTCTTCTAGCTATTTAAAGGACTTGCTGTAATTACAACCCTTGGCGTTTGCTGTACCAGATTTCTTATATCTTGGTCGCTGCTTACTGCTGCTGTACGTGGATCCTTGTCTTGCTTGAATTTTATTTCCATTCAATTACAGCCTATATAAGTCCACTGCTGGGCCTGCAACATAGATCGTCTCATAGGGGGGATTTTGCCATGTTGCTTGGCATGCGGGTTGCCAACCGCAGTTTTTTTTTTATTATTTTGAGTTATGAGGAAGATACTACTGCCCATCTCCTGTTTCAGTTACCCTCTGTCACCTCTTCAGACGGCCCCGGCACGATATGGGGTAGTGTATATTCTTACACCGCCACTACACAGTTTTAATTTTACTTTACCACCAGATGTTCCATGCATTTTTAAATTTGACTTAAAAACACTGAACATGGTGCTGCATTCTCTGCCAACACTGCCATACATGAAATTTTCATTTATAAACCCACAGCAATTAAAGATAGCCATTTATTTGCACCTATTAATTATTTTATAATAGTGTTTATTTATTATTTAAAAATAATAATACGGCTTACATTTTAGTAAATTATAGTATTTTGCTTTTGTTAAAAGAAAACATATGAAACATTGTATACCTAGTTACTTCTTACTGTTATATATCGCATCTTAACTAACAGTCGCACTCTGCAAGAATGAAAATTGACGGTAAACCAGGCTGTAATTATGGGTATCGGCACCGTATCCAGTGCTTCAACAAAAAAAAATCAGTTTTTCTATGGAAAAATGCAGTTATGTCTTAGTCGCCAGCCCGCGCCGACCGGAAAGACTAAAAAAATGTACTTTCATACAAATAAGACAGCACGTCTATTAGCGATCGAGTGGAATTTACATCGGAACGCACAATGAAACTCGCCCTTAACGTGACATTCTAAATAATATTTAAATAACTGGAAACATTTTAAATTTTCAAATGCCATGCCACGTTATCACCTTAATATTACACTCAATAACTTATTACTGAATTAATTATTACATGAGATATATCGTAGGGATAATTTAAATTAGTCAAAGGTCAATTGTAAGAAAAAGAATATTAATGTGTTTTCTAAGTAATATTTACAATGTTTTTTAATAATAAGTTTGATTTAAAATACTATACCGGGCTGTAAAAACTTTAAACTTAAGATAATCTCCAAAAAAAAAACATAAATTCAATTTCTGTATAAAACGAAATTGTTTAAAACAAAAGTAATATTCTTTAACTACACTTTATTTCAATTTATATTTTGAATCACTTCGGAAAGAAACGTCAAACATTTTTAACGTTATAGTAAGTAATTAAAATTATTATTTTATAACACAAATAGTGATTGAATTTGTGAAAAATAAATTAAACATTGTTTTTATTTAATTTAATTAAATCGTTAAAAATAACTTAGGTATTTCATATGATTATATGAATTCTTAACAAAAAATGACATGCAGAAATGTAAAACTTAAAATTAATTATATAATCACCACAATTATATACACACACACACATATATATATATATTAAGCCACGCTGCAGCTATATTGTAGTACCACGAATGGGTCGGATCGACCGAGGCAAGACTACGCTCTCACAAAATACCAGCGAATACGTAATACAGCAGAACGCATCTGCATTTTGATTCTTGATCGAGGTTAAATGTGGATGTCTATAGACCACAGCATCCACTAATCATCAGGTAGGCTGTGTGCTCTTTTGTTACCCTTATTGTATCAAAAACTAAAGCTATATGTTTAGATTCAGGTTCATGTCAAAAAAGAAGCTAAAATATGTCAAAAAACATGTACCATTGTTATAAAATATATATCATAATGTGTATTATTTTTAAAGTACTACGTAAAACCTTAAATTATAAACTCGATGTGCAAATTCGTAAACGTTCGAAACCTTTTCTTTCAAACTACTAGCGACATCTGTTGTCGAGAAGCTAGAACCACTTTAAATATATATTTTCATTAAGTTACTGATAACGGGTTTAGACACATATTTAGTATTAAATATCTAAATGAATGATCTATATCTATAATTTTATCTACTTAATATTTAGTGATTAGAACATATTATAAATACCTATGTTTTTAATTATCTCGATCGAAAAAAAGTTTGAATTGCAATTGCCTTATTGTTTATTCCAATGTATCTTTTCATAACCATTTCGTTTTTCCACTGTTGTGTGAAGTTGTACAAACCGCTTATAACAATAAAGTTTATTATAGTTATAAGTATTAAAAACTCACGCTTCAAAATAGCATAAAATCTCAAGAGCGATTTTGAACATATATCTGATTTGCGAAAATCGCTCTTAATAATTTTACTGAATATAATTCGATTATTTTCTTTTTTTCTTCTTTATCAGTCGCCAGTCCACCTGCCGGGTATACCCAGGGAGATTGGCCGATTACGGCCATTGACAATGTACCTATATACCATACTAGTAGGTACTAGCGATTAGCTATTGACAATGTACCTATATACCATACTAGTAGGTACTACAAATAAGGTCTTTTTGAAATACATTTACATTACTTTTCAACACAAAATGAAATGTTAAATAAAGTACCTAGATAGTAGAATTCAATGTAAATTAAATGTAAAGGTAAAGCATAAACGAAAGCTATTTTTATGGCAGTTAAAATATACAACTACAGGGAATATTAAAATTTTAATTACTTAAACATTCAAAATTAACTAACTGGCTCATTTATAAATTTTTTTATTCTTTAAAAGATTTTTTCACTTATAAATTTGTTTGACTTCGAAAGTAACAGTTATTCATTAATTTTTTTTTCAAGTGTATTTTATTTTTGCTGATTGATCAATTAATTTAATAAACGAACTAATTTATTATACTTTAGAATTGTTTATGATCTTACTTAAATATGTGGTAATTAGAGATTTCTGTACTTACGACATCTTTTATTAAAATTAACTTAAGCTGACATTTCATAAAAAATAAGAACATATTATTATAGTAGAATATCTATGTCGATGTCGGTAGAACATATCTAAACTTATGTACCTTATTATGTCTGAGAAATAATTATTATTATATTATTATTACAACGCGCTATAAAACATTTCAATTATTTGTTACGCAAACTAAAGGTATATGCGGTTTCGTATTTGTTTGGCATTAGGTTTGACTAATATATGATTAAAACCGAATTGCGTGGGCGTGGTTACATTACCTAAATCACTTGACTAGTGGTTATGTGGCGACTGTATATTTTAAGTCTCATATAAAATCGATACACATACGTGTCCATGTATATCTGGTATTCCTAAACTTTTTACGTACCTACCTATCTACATTTAAATAAAAGGTAAAGTTACGTGAGGGCAATATTACCTTAAGCTTTACCAACCTATAGAACCTAAACTAACAGAATGACAGAGACAAAAATACAAAACTGTATACTATAACTAATATATTTAAAAAACAAACAAGCTTAGGCAAAACTAGGATTAGGACACTTTTAAAAATCAACTTAAAAAACTAACTACACTACACCATGCTAAAACCAACTAAAACATTTACTATAATGTCAACTGTCAAAATGGCGTCGATCAAGCATCGCCCTTTCACTATTTGATTGACTGATGAAAAGCTATCATATCACATAGCCATCTATGCGAGCAAGGCTGTAGTTTTTGAGTTATAATTAAGTAACCATATTAACCGGATGCCAACATTACCCTCACGTACTACTATTCATTATCATCCTCATTAAATTGAAGCACCTTCGACATAGCTGGCCGTCACTGTCTTGGTATTTTAAGTCATGCGTAATCGAATTGGTTATAACGCCATTAATCGGAAGCTGTAATGTTCTAAACACAATCGGGTAAATAAAGTGAGTATATAGGATTATCATAATGAGTTAATGAGACACGTACTTCCAGTGAAGCGGAATTACGAGTATTAAGAACTGTGCTGTTATGTGCATCTTATTGAACATACTCGTAGGTACCCTCTTAAGTAAGAATTATGCTCGTTGTATCTCTCGTTATATAACTCTAAGATTTTCTTTGGTAATCCTATAGTCGTCTCTTCCCTGGGAATAGGATGATTGATTCTCTTATATCGCCAGCACATGGCACCGCATAAGTATATGGTATATAAGTAATCATATACATGTATATGGATTTTCTTTATAGAATAAAGGTGACATACGAGCACATAGTCCACCTGATGGTAAGTGGATGTTGTGGCCCATAGACATCCACATCCTCGATTAAGAATTATTTTCCTTAGTCTAGTTTCAGTTTTAATATTTATTTTATAGATAGGTACTTGTGAAATAATAACATTCTTATTTTGTGGTTGAGGATTTCATATTGATTTTTTTATAGAATTAGGGTGACAAACGAGCACTCGGTCCACCTGATGGAAAGTGGATGCTATGTCTCATAGATATCTACATTCCTCCTCTATTAAGTATCAAAATGCAAATGCGTCACCCCTGAGGACTAAGATAGAATGCCTCGTTTCCAGTAAAAAAGGGTCTCCGAATCTTTACACTCACCATACGAAACACACCAATAGTAAGCTGCTATTTTACGCTGGTATTTTGAGAGATGTTTGATGTGATTTATTTTTAAATGTGAATTAATTGATCGAAAATCTATTAGAAGATATAAAACGTCCGTATATATTTTGACCTCGATATCATAGTTAATAAGCGTTTTATAAAGCACTGCGGAGCGTGGCTTCAATACTCGCATGGGACAAGTATTGGTATGGCATAATAATAAATATCCCGGGTCTAGCTTCTGTTGTTCATGGGTAGTTAATACATGTAAGACATCTCTGTGATACAGGAGAAATACCTTGTGAGAGAACTTAAATAATATATAGCAATAAAAATATAGTAAATATAAAACTCCCAAGTAGCAAATTTAAAACTTTTTTAAAACAACGATAATCATATATTACTCTACAAAATCTACTACACTACACTACACTAAGTGGTAACCTCTTTTTCTGCCTGCAGTCCGTCGCTACCATCCCCTTAACTATTTCTGCCACCAATGAACAGTGCGTGCAGTACTGTGTTATGGTCTGAACAGTACTCTATACTCTTCAGACAGTATAATTATAAGCTGTGAGACGTTTTATCTTTGTCTTCAGAAGTGACGACACGTTTGTTGCCTTCTTTGTTTAAAGTTTGCCGCCTGTGTCCATCGACTGCAACAGCTACTTTCCATCAGGTGGACTGGTGTCCGTTTGTTGCTTTAGTTTTATTAAAAAAAAACACAAACCATCTTTGTAACATACTGTTTTATTGTTCTAGGTGACAGTTCCGGCTCATGCTCAGAAGAAGAAATAAACAATGTCTTACCAGAAGATCCGAGAGATCGGCCAGTTGCACACATGTGCCCACGTTGTCAAGAACAATTCGAAAATCTACATGATTTCTTGTACCACAAAAGACTTTGTGATGAGAAGGCAATCCAAATGGGCGAAGAGAGAATGCACTCTGATCCAGAGGAAATGGTTGTTTCGGGGGACGAAGAGATGGATGGGCCGAACAAACGTTTAGAACAAGTACGAAGGCATCGACAAGATGCTGAAAACAATAACAGTCTTGAAGATGGCGAGGCGGAAGTACCTGAAGCTGACGTACCGCCGGTGGGACTCCCCTTCCCAGTAGCCGGTCACGTAACGCTGGAAGCCTTACAAAACACAAAAGTGGCTGTAGCTCAGTTTGCCGCAACGGCAATGGCAAACAACGCAGATAATGAAGCGGCTTTACATGAGCTCGCTGTTTTACAAAGCACATTGTTCACACTGCAACATCAGCAAGTGTTTCAACTGCAGTTAATTCGTCAACTACAAAATCAACTGTCACTAACGCGACGGAAAGATGAACAGCGCCTAAGCCCTCCGCCCAATGAACCAGAGCCAGTAGTGCCTGCGCCTCCGGCTCCATCGCCGTCACCGCCTCGTCCGCCACGGGAGCCATCTCCTCCTATACCTACTCCTCCTACAAGCCAAAACTTGCCGTCGACCCATTCGCATCTTACGCCTAAAACTGAACCAATTACCATTCCTAAAATTCCGACCTCGTCACCACCTATGATGACTCACCCACCCTATAGCTCCATATCGTCATCGTTAGCATCTTCCATAATCACAAATAATGATCCACCGCCGTCCTTGAATGAGCCCAACACTCTCGAAATGCTTCAAAAACGAGCACAAGAAGTACTTGATAACGCTTCGCAAGGTTTGCTAGCTAACAACCTTGCTGATGAGCTTGCTTTTCGTAAATCCGGAAAAATGTCACCGTATGATGGAAAATCTGGAGGGCGAAACGAACCTTTCTTCAAGCATCGCTGCCGATACTGCGGGAAAGTTTTCGGCAGTGACTCAGCACTACAAATCCACATTCGTTCACACACAGGTGAAAGACCTTTTAAGTGTAATGTGTGTGGTTCTCGATTTACCACTAAAGGAAATTTAAAAGTACATTTCCAAAGACATACTGCAAAATTTCCACATGTCAAAATGAATCCAAATCCGATACCAGAACATTTGGATAAATATCATCCTCCTCTATTAGCACAACTGTCGCCGGGGCCGATTCCTGGAATGCCACCCCATCCACTTCAATTCCCTCCGGGTGCTCCAGCACCATTTCCGCCAAGCTTGCCGTTATATAGACCACCACATCATGATTTACTGCCCCCACGCCCACTGGGTGATAAGCCTCTTCCGCCTCACCCACTTTTTGCAATGAGAGAAGAACAGGACGCACCGGCTGATCTCAGCAAACCTTCAGTACCAAGTCCACCTCGTGCACCTGAAATGTTTAAATCTGAACCTCAAGATGACGAATGTCAACGGGAATCTAGTTTTGAGGATAATGACCGTGTATCACCAAAGCGAGAACTTGAAGAAAATGACGCTGGTCAAGATGCAGAACAAGATCGGTATCCCTCAACGTCTCCATACGATGATTGCAGCATGGACTCGAAATACAGCAACGAAGATCAAATTGGCAGAGAGAGTCCACACGTGAAGCCTGATCCAGATCAACCGGAAAATCTTTCAAGTAAGAATTCACCGATATCTGGACCAATTTCAATAGCAACGGGACTTCGTACTTTTCCTTCATATCCCTTGTTTCCGCACTCTCCTCCTAGCAGTATTTCCTCTGGTAGCCTTACACCTTTTCACAATATTCCTCACGGTGTTGTTGAGCCTGATTTAGCTCGTGATCCCGTTTTTTATAATTCAATACTGCCGCGGCCTGGAAGTAATGATAATTCATGGGAAAGTTTGATTGAAATAACTAAAACTTCAGAAACTTCTAAATTACAGCAATTAGTCGATAAAATAGACAATAAGGTATCTGATCCTAACGAATGCATAGTATGCCATCGAGTCCTATCTTGTAAAAGTGCTTTACAAATGCACTATCGAACACATACCGGTGAGCGACCGTTTCGGTGCAAGCTCTGTGGTCGAGCTTTCACAACTAAAGGTAATTTAAAGACCCATATGGGTGTCCATCGTATTAAACCACCATCACAAATGTTACATCAATGCCCAGTTTGTCATAAAAAGTTTTCTGATCCCACCATACTTCATCACCACATACGGCTTCATACAATTGACCGAGGTAACATTTCTTTCGATCAGGTCCGCGGTATTGAAATCAACTATTTTCCTCAATTCAGTAATACTTCCGATGCCAGTGAATTCACACCCTACCGACCTATCCCACCCTCTATGTTTCCTACTCCGTCCACTCCCGGCGACCGACGGGCGGACTCCCGCGGAACCGACGATGAGAGCGGCCGGGACGAGCGTGAGCCCGCTACTCGGGAGTTCGACGACGACTCTGAAATGAAGGATCGTCGAACTTCGCCGCTCTCCGTCTGCGCCTCGGCGTCCGAATTCGAAGTTAAAACCATCACAACAACGGCTTCCCTCCCATCGGCGACAGGTTCGGAGAGCGGGCGGAGCGCGCAGGCTTCGCCGCCGTCGCCATCGCTGTCGTCGCTGTCGACGCCGCCGCGGCTGCCGCAGCACTCACCGCTGCCTTCACCGCCCACGCCCCTTGCTGCGCTCGGTGCTCTCGGTGGATCGCCCTTCAGCCCACTTGGACTCGCGTTTCCTCCCGCAGGTATGCGATAGCGGGATATTATACTTAAGTCCGCCCCGGTCGTCCATGCATCCATTCCTTCCAAAAACATCCTAATATTGCAAACTAGTAATAACCTAAACACCGGGCGCTTGATAACACGCTGAAAGTATTCATTCTAAATACATCCTTGCAAGATAATGCCCTTATCATCACTTCTATATGAGTTTCTTCGTGCGTTTGGACAATAAAAGTGACATTGAACAGTGGATTTATTTGTATGCAGTGCGCGGCAACACAACGTGTAACATCTGCTACAAGACATTCGCCTGCAACTCTGCTCTGGAGATCCATTACCGCAGCCACACTAAGGAACGACCGTTCAAGTGCACTGTCTGCGATCGTGGATTTTCTACAAAGGTTAGTTATATTGCATATATCTCCGTAATTCCAATTATACAAATAAAGTGAAGTACATTCAAAACCCGACAAAGATTTGACATACATATTTTAAATCGTTTAAAACACTTAATAAAAGACTAAACGCACCGCAAAGGCGGTAATGTCATACTGCGTACCTTGGGTTTGTAGCCCAGTGTAGCTCCGATTGAAAGCGTTGGCTAGATGCCAGTTTATTCTTTATTGTTACACAAATAGCAACACATAGTTACACTTTCATGACATTCTATTTAATTATGGAACTCTCTTTTTGTAGGTACAATAACAGTGTTATCATAATCAATTGTGTAAAATTATTGCAAATTATAAAAATATAAGTATACGTTTATTATAAAATAAAAACTTAGTAATAATAAAGACGATGATAACCAACGGTTATAAATATCACATATATGTTAAGCTTAGTCTAACCAGTAATTCTAAGACTTAAATCAAATGACATCGCATCTAACTTACAAGTTTACCCGGCAAGTCGCAGCAAGTTGCCAGCGCGCTGCAACGAACTTGTGCTCCGGTTTCATTTCATCCAAGTTTCAGTGCATTAATTTTGCAAGCAGTAATTACAAGTCTCCAGTCGACGCTCCTAGTTCGCATTAGTTTAGCCGTTGTCTTCCTAAAGCACATACGAGCCGCTGTCGACTTCGCGAGTAATTGACGACACATCCACAGAACTAGTAGGCTCGTTAATTTAGTTTAAAACATATAATTTTATTCTTTATTCGTTAATTTATCATTAATGATAACACTCGGCCAAATTATTTTATTTACACAAAAGCAATCATGTCAACAAATCATTAAGCCCATTTTTATTATAAATAATAAAACATAAAATCGCTCAAATACAATTATTTCTTATATTCACGCGATTACTACACATTGAATAAAAAAGCTAAAGGTAGTCTGGATTCACTACGTCATTAGGGCGTTGAATATCTTAGTCATCCCTTGACTATGAATGCTGCAAAACATTTCAAAGGTCGGGGTTTTAAATAAAAGAACATGTAAATTGAACGCGATAAAATCCGTTGAATTAGTTTTATTTAATGGCTAAACTAATATGAGAGGAATGCTTCATTTTCGAATTTACACGTCCTAAGTACATTAGGTAAAGTGTTTTGTGTCTTTATACCATAACAGTTATTATAGGAGTCTTAGAAAAGAATAATAATACGCCTGATCACTTGATGTTTGCTTTACTACAGTCACAGCACGAAAAAGCACCTCAATCATTATTGCAATCGTTTAAATAACATCACAATGGTGGTAACCTATCCCTACTAGCTATCAAAACTGAACCTAGCAACAGTTCAAATGTGTAAGAATTTTACAATCCAAATACTTTTATAATATGAAAATAAGTAAACAACTGTTATAAATATATATAACTATTGTAAATATGTAACACTGATAATAATTAATTACAAATGTTTAGGAAATGAAATTACTTATATAATATTCTTTGCAAATCTCTCAAATTCTAAATTAAAAATAAACTGAGGAAATTATCTATGACAAATATTATGACAATACAATGACATAATCAAAAAGATATAAACAAAAAGATAATTACACATTTATTAATTAAATTATTTTAATAGCAATTATTTAACAATCACTGATACAGTTTAGAATTTCTATCTACTAAAAGAAAAAGTCTCAAATTTTTTTTTGATAATAATTAGAGTAGGTAGATATAGGTAGAGTTATTTCTAACCGAGTTCAAAAAACAAGATTCTTTATTCTACGCTTAAGTTTTTTATGTATACTGATTTCTCGGAAACATATAGGCAGGGTATAGGTAGATAATTCAGGGGTAGTCCATACACATTTTAAATGAAAATTTCCATCCCTAAGGGTGAAAAATAGGGGATTAATGTTTTAACATAACTATTATAACGACATTTTGGTTTGTTATCTTGAACTTTCACAGTTCTTAGTCCACTCAAACCGCTATAGCATATCAAAGTCCATTGCCGGACATAACCTTCCCCCATAGGCAAATGCCGTTTCTAACAGAACATTTCTTAATGATTTCTTATTTGCGAGGTATATTTCTTGTCATAGTTTCGAGTCTTAGTAATAGAGTTTAAGATATTTTCGTGCGTTAATTACGCATTCGTGTACACAAACTCCTATCGCTTAATTTGTGGTGCATTTGTCGTCGAACTTCGACTAATATAAACTAAGTAGCTTTCGCCAATATCTTCTTGCGGACTACCTCCACCTGAAGCGATCACAAATACAACAATCGCTTCTAAAGTTCTCATGGCTTTGACTTTAGTATTATCAAAACGTACATTTTATTCTTATTTTTGGTCAGTTGAATAAAAGCTTATTGCACTACAAAAATGTTTAAAAAAAAGTGTTAATAATTTTGTAGTGCAATATATAAATAATATGCTGATGTCTCATCGAATATTAAAAGTGTAGATTTATTAACGGTGTTCAGTTCATCATCATCATCATCATTACAGCCCTTCACAAGTCCACTGCTGAACATAGGCCTCCCCCAAGTAATGCCACAAAGCACGGTCCTGAGCCACCTGCATCCATCGACTTCCTGCATATCTTACCAGGTCGTCACTCCATCTAGTGGGGGGTCGCCCTACACTACGCCTACCGGTACGAGGCTGCCACTCGAGAACCTTTCTTCCCCATCGGTTATCGGTTCTTCGAGCTATATGGCCGGCCCATTGCCACTTCAGCTTACTAATCCGTTGGGCTATGTCGGTCACTCTGGTTTTACTGCGGGTATCCTCATTTCTGAGTCTATCACGCAGAGAAACTCCGAGCATAGCCCTCTCCATAGCTCGCTGAGCGACCTTGAGCGTCCTCATACGGCCAGCAGTGAAGGACCACGTCTCAGATCCGTCACTCAGTTAGGTATAACAAACAATTTACTATGATAGTAATTTTAATCATAAATATTTAAAAAAGGTAAGCATTCAAACTATATTGGCGTTTAAAAGAATTAGCCAGACCGTAGATGGAGCTGAGTAATGCCGCTACTTATAATTTATATTTAAATAATAAAGCAATTTCGAGGTCTACTTAAGGAAATTAATTCAATGTAATATTCAATAAATAAGCGTTGTTAAAAGTGTTTTTATTTTTATGGTGATTCGAGTTTTATAATCAGTTCGGCCAATATTTCATGAGTGTAGAGCTGCGCTTGCGTCGCGCTCGCGGACCATCTCGCTGCGCCACAAAAATGATAAGTCATAAAAACAACGTCACGGAGAACGATAGGAATATTAATTCATGTCGTAAAATATTTATTGCTTATAAATCCTTGAGCCTTTACCTACGCTTCGCGTCATAAAAAGATTATTTATGCTCGACAAAGTAACATTTTTCGTATATTTCCGAAAGTGTCCATGCAGAGGCCTTATCAATAAAATGTAGGTTATTTATAGCGGCGCCGCATTTTTAACTTTTGAAGAATGCCTGTTACTGCACTGACCACTTTTGTTTAATCAAGTACTTTGTATATAAACTTATGCTTAATTGTCGGTAAATAGTTACCCACATAAATATGATTAACATTTGAAGCGATCCAAAATTTCGAGTACCTACTTACAAATCACGTAATAATTACATATTCGTAAATATAAAATAACAAACTATACGCCTCAAAAATTCCTACTTTAAATTTAATCGCAAACTTACATACTTGAATGGAACAAAAAAAACATATTAAAAGCAGTGTCGTAAAAAAATGTAAAATTATGAAATTCTTTATTTCATCAGGAACTCTTAAGTCTTAACCTTACAGTTAGGTACTCGTAGAAAATGATGTAGTCTTCTTTTAAATATTTATTTATTATTCGTTAATGGATAAAAATATATTTTATACTTAAATTGGCTTTAAACATTTAAAAACAAAACAAGATTAAAGTAACAATATTTTATAAATAAATAAACCAATAATAACATTTTTAAATCTCTGATATTTAATTTAAAAACATTTAAAGATTAAAATATTTACTTCAATTAAAGGACCTAGCCAACTTCAAAGAACTAAAACAATTTCACATTTTTAAGCCGGTTCGAAGCTCCAACTTCGGAATATGAAATACTTTATTCTTTTAATTCTTAGAATTTGTCTTCTAATTTTTATTTAAATTTTTTTTTACCTTTTGAGTTATACATCACCCATATTTTGCTACACTTAGGTGAAGGAAATTTTCTTCCCAAGGCATCAACCCTGCAGTAAGTATAACCTATTAAATTAAAAAGAATCATCAAAATCGGTCACGCTACTAGCCCAAAAAAGAATAGAAAAAGAGTCAGTGTATTGATTAAGTACTTAAAATTTATGAATAAAGTTCTTGTCAGTCATCTACACTATCCTAGTTTGCGAATTAAACGCAGATGTCAGCCGTGAGGACTAATATGGAATGCCTCGTTTCCAGTAAAAAGGATCTCCGGTTATCTACACTCACCATACGAAACACAGCAGCATTACGCTACTATTTTACGCTGGATTTCTGTGAGAGCGTAGTCCTTCTCCGGTCGAGCCGACCCATTCATGCTACAACAGTACTACTGTACTAATAATATAACTACAGCATGGCTCTACCACGTATAATATAATATGTATATATTACATAAGCACGTGTATAGTCTTCACCCTTAGACTTAAACTAGCGCAAAGGTTGTTTGCACGTATTTAAAGGCATTTATGTCGTAGGTATCTTCTATCTTCTTAATTACACCCTTCATGTTACTAGAGAGACAGAGCAATAAAATATTTAATATGTAAGCAAGCTCTATGAAGCTTCGTGAACTATTTTTATAAGGTTTTAAACCTGGTGCAGCCACGCTGCAGCTATATTATGGTTGTAGCAGGAACGGGTTGGCACGACCGTGGCAGGACCACGCTTTCACAGAATGCCAACATAAAGTAGCAGCTTGATAATGCTGTGTTTCGTACGGTGAGGTGTAGAGAACCAGAGGCC